TCCCTACCCAGGGTTATTCTGGGTGGCTAACCCTCCCTACCCAGCGTTATCCTAGGTGGCTAACCCTCCCTACCCAGCGTTATCCTGGGTGGTTAACCCTCCCTACCCAGGGTTATCCTGGGTGGTTAACCCTCCCTACCCAGGGTTATCCTGGGTGGCTAACCCTCCCTACCCAGCGTTATCCTGGGTGGTTAACCCTCCCTACCCAGGGTTATCCTGGGTGGCTAACCCTCCCTACCCTGGGTTATCCTGGGTGGCTAACCCTCCCTTCCCCTGGTTATCCTGGGTGGCTAACCCTCCCTACCCAGCGTTATCCTGGGTGGTTAACCCTCCCTACCCAGGGTTATCCTGAGTGGCTAACCCTCCCTACCCAGGTTATCCTGGGTGGCTAACCCTCCCTACCCAGGGTTATCCTGGGTGGTTAACCCTCCCTACCCAGGGTTATCCTGGGTGGCTAACCCTCCCTACCCAGGGTTATCCTGGGTGGCTAACCCTCCCTACCCAGGTTATCCTGGGTGGTTAACCCTCCCTACCCAGGGTTATCCTGGTGGCTAACCCTCCCTACCCTGGGTTATCGTGGGTGGCTAACCCTCCCTACCCCTGGTTATCCTGGGTGGCTAACCCTCCCTACCCAGGGTTATCCTGGGTGGCTAACCCTCCCTACCCAGCGTTTTCCTGGGTGGTTAACCCTCCCTACCCTGGGTTATCCTGGGTACCTAACCCTCCCTACCCGTGGTTATCCTGGGTGGCTAACCCTCCCTACCCAGGGTTATCCTGGGTGGTTAACCCTCCCTACCCAGGGTTATCCTGGGTGGCTAACCCTCCCTACCCTGGGTTATCCTGGGTGGCTAACCCTCCCTACCCCTGGTTATCCTGGGTGGCTAACCCTCCCTACCCAGGGTTATCCTGGGTGGCTAACCCTCCCTACCCAGAGTTATCCTGGGTGGTTAACTCTACCTACCCAGGGTTATCCTGGGTGGTTAACCCTCCCTACCCAGGGTTATCCTGGGTGGTTAACTCTACCTACCCAGGGTTATCCTGGGTGGTTAACCCTCCCTACCCAGGGTTATCCTGGGTGGTTAACCCTCCCTACCCAGGGTTATCCTGGGTGGCTAACCCTCCCTACCAGGGTTATCCTTGGTGGCTAACCCTCCCTACCAGGGTTATCCTGGGTGGCTAACCCTCCCTACCCAGGGTTATCCTGGGTGGTTAACCCTCCCTACCCAGGGTTATCCTGGGTGGTTAGCCCTCCCTACCCAGGGTTATCCTGGGTGGCTAACCCTCCCTACCCAGGGTTATCCTGGGTGGCTAACCCTCCCTACCCAGGGTTATCCTGGGTGGCTAACCCTCCCTACCCCGGGTTAAAAATTTGGATAAGTATTTTTAATACATATTTTTCTTTACACTACAATATATATCATAGAATATTACCACTCATATTGTTAGTTATATAATCTATAAAGTTCCATCTGGGAAGGAATTAGGATAATTATATTTATGTGAGCATAATAATATGGGTCTATTACTTTCATTCATGCAGGTATGTATATAGTATACATGTATACACGTACACATACACGTGCATAAGTCTAAGAGCCTTCTGGCTACACTTCCTTCCTGGGGTTTCTCCAAATATACTTCACTAAATTTACATCTCAGCTTCAAGTCAAACAGCCATAAATCCTTTCCCAGAGGCGGATAGCTTGCATGAACACTTTGCTTCTGCTGGTCGGATTTAAATCCATGCCTCTTTCCAGATTACCCATACTGGGTGATTTCTCTCTCGCATTTCTAGAGGTACTCTGGTATAGTAAGTGTGGCTGCACTCGGGAGGTGCAGAGTGCAGCCACGAGTCACTAGTAACGTGGTACGGCAAGAAGGTACTACAGGTTGCAGAAATTAAAGAATCATAATTGAAATGTTGCGCTGACTTGTTTGGGTTATTCTGGGTTGTCTACTCATGCTGCTATGTGTGATTCAATTCAATTCAATTCAATTCAAAGTTTATTCTCTATAAGTATTACAATGCTGAGTTTACAGAATTTGGTTATTGTGTGGTTTACATGTAGTAAAATAATAATTACAGAGTGTACCACTAGAACACCTAGCATGGCTAGGCATTTCGGGCAGACTTAGATTAAGTCTTAAGTTTAAAATATTACAAATTATGAGGTAAGTTGGTATTATGGCTAAGTGACTAAATACTAGTTTGTGAGTTTAGCAATGTGAATGCTTTTGTTTTGGCACAGTACATAGTTTCAGTATTGGAGTATCACAGGCCAACTTATGACTAGTTAAGATTCATTATTTTGAGATTGAGATTGATATTTCTGTTTATGGTCAAATGGGTGAGTGAGTGTAAGTGTTAACCACCAGGTGGTATTCGTGTAATTAGTTGACAGGGTGTATCAGGGAGATAAGATGTTTTCTGATGGTAGTTTTGAAGGTGATGAATGTGTCTGCAGTTTTAGAATTTTCAGGTAGGATGTTCCAGATTTTAGGGCCTTTGACATACATTGAATTTTTATAAAGGTTTAGTCGGACACGGGGAATGTCATAGAGATGTTTGTGTCTGGTGTCTGATAATCTATGTAAGTGTATATGTGTATTCTTGAATATCAACTTAGGTGATATTCAGCCCTGATGACTCTGAGTAGATGATAAGTGTAAAGACTAGTTAACTAACCATACGTGTCCCTATCCTAGCTCCACACACCTGTCCCTGTCCTACCCCACTCCTGCCTCTATCCTAGCCTTGCATACCTGCCCCTTACCTAGCCCCACACCTGCCTCTATCCTAGCCCTACATACCTGCCCCTATCCTAGCCCCACACCTGCCCCTATCCTAGCCTTGCATACCTGCCCCTGTCCTAGCCCCATACCTGCCCCTATCCTAGCCCTACATACCTGCCCCTATCCTATCCCCATACCTGCCCCTATCCTAGCCTTGCATACCTGCCCCTCTCCTAGCCCCATACCTGCCCCTGTCCTAGCCTTGCATACCTGCCCCTGTCCTAGCCTTGCATACCTGCCCCTCTCCTAGCCCCATACCTGCCCCTATCCTAGCCCTACATACCTGCCCCTATACTAGCCCCATACCTGCCCCTATCCTAGCCTTGCATACCTGCCCCTCTCCTAGCCCCACACCTGCCTCTATCCTAGCCTTACATACCTGCCCCTATTCTAGCCCCACACCTTCCTCTATCCTAGCCTTACATACCTGCCCCTATCCTAGCCCCACACCTGCCTCTATCCTAGCCTTACATACCTGCCCCTATCCTAGCCCCACACCTGCCTCTATCCTAGCCTTACATACCTGCCCCTATCCTAGCCCCACACCTGCCTATATCCTAGCCTTACCTGCCCCTATCCTAGCCCCACACCTGCCTCTATCCTAGCCTTACATACCTGCCCCTATCCTAGCCCCACACCTGCCTCTATCCTAGCCCTACATACCTGCCCCTCTCCTAGCCCCACGTTTGCGCCTATCCTAATCCCACACCTGTCCCTATCCTACCCACACATCTGACCCTATCCAAGCCCCACACCTGTCCATGAATGTCAGTTGCCTGTGGTGTAAACCGCTCCCTTACAAATTCCGCCATTAAATATAGATCATAACTCTCCGTTTTCTTTCTGGACAGCGCCGCTCTCTGTGTTATTATCGTACACACACAAAGGTGGAGTTATCGTGCTCTCAGTAAAGTTGTTATACTGGGACAACTTGTCGTACTTCAGGGGACTGAGTGCTCCTTTCCTAAGTCAAACTTGGCGTTCTCGGTCAACTCAGTCGCTTTTTAATGAGAGGCAACTGTAGTTTCCGAGTAAATAACGTAGAGAAAAATGCTTTTGAATGGACCTTCACGAGGAAATAAACGTGGGGGGAAAATATACAATTCTTCTTTGACTCGAGAAAGAAGCATGTACCTGGGGACTCGTGTAAAGTTTAATCCTGTAAATAACTTGAATGAATCGCCTCATGTGCGCGGGGGAAGAGTTGAACCTCAGTTGATTTATCTACCGAGATGTGTCTATTTCGAGCAAGTGGTGGTCGTTGGGGGGGGGGGGGATGTGGATAGGAGAGGGCTTGTATGAGGGGGATGGAGGACTGGTAGCAAGGAAGGAGAGGGACTAGAAGGATTAATGGGGGAGAGGTGAGAGGGTAGGACATTGTTACTAGCAGCCGTGCATTTCATGCCCACATACCGAGGCATGGCCTTGTGTAACCAGCATATGGATGCTTCTCATGCCTCAGCTGCCGCTACTTGTGTAATCTGCGTTGTTTTCATACCATCAGCTCCACTCCTTCACATTCAACAACATTTGTTTTGGTTTCTTTGTCCACATTGTGTAGGCAGACAGCCAAGATCTGATGAAGACAGTTGGAGCTTTCTGTTGCAGTGATTTCTTGCTTTGAATGGTACACACATGGTTAGCTCTGGTTGTGGTTGTTCTCGCTTGTTGCGGTCGTGATTGTCCTCGCTTGTTAGTTGTGGTCGTGATTGTCCTCGCTTGTTAGCTGTGCTCGTGATTGTCCTCGCTTGTTAGTTGTAGTCGTAATTGTCCTTGCTTGTTAGTTATGGTCGTGATTGTCCTCGCTTGTTAGTTGTGGTCGTGATTGTCCTCGCTTGTTAGTTGTGGTCGTAATTGTCCTCGCTCGTTAGCTGTGGTCGTGATTGTCCTCGCTTGTTGTGGTCGTGATTGTCCTCGCTTGTTAGTTGTGGACGTGATTGTCCTCGCTTGTTAGTTGTGGTCGTGATTGTCCTCGCTTGTTAGCTGTGGTCGTGATTGTCCTCGCTTGTTAGTTGTGGTCGTGATTGTCCTCGCTTGTTAGCTGTGGTCGTGATTGTCCTCGCTTGTTAGTTGTGGACGTGATTGTCCTCGCTTGTTAGTTGTGGTCGTGACTGTCCTCGCTTGTTAGTTGTGGTCATGGATGTCCTCGTTCAGAGTCTCTTAGATAAGAACGTGAATGAAAGTTGCTCAGACAAGACAGTTCTTGAGGTGCTGTCGTTCCCACAGGATGTCGTTCAGGGACAAGGGCGTGAGGAAGGCGTGTTGGGACTCCAGGGACCGCTATTGGGCCTGCCTTGACCTGCCCGACCTTCACCGTGACCACTGCATGGAGCTACGACGTCTCTACGAGATGGCCTGCCCCGGACACTGGGTGAGTACTCCCTGACCCGGACACTGGGTGAGTACTCCTGACCCGGAGTGAGTACCCCTTGCCCGGGACTCTGGGTATAATTCCTGTTGCCCCTCGCTCTGGGATGATGGAGATATCTTCATAAAAAATTTCTTGTATTCATTGTAACTCTCAAAATTTATACCGACGCTCACCCAAGTGACTGTATGTATAAAATTACTGATTTTCTTGTTACCTTATTAATTTTAAGTTAATCTTGAAAAGTTTGCCTGAAATGCTGTCCATATCGAGGGTCTTTATGCATACACACCTGAGTCTCAGTCACCTTTGTACCAACATTGTATACTGAAATAAGGTATTATTATTATTATTATTATTATTATTTCTTCTGTACATGTTATCCTGTAAAATTGTCGTTAGTAGTACTTACAGGAGTGAGTACTACTGACGACCTTCTGTGAGTATTACTGACGACCTTCTGTGAATACTACTGACGACCTGTGAGTACTACTGACGACCTCATGTGAGTATTACTGACGACCTTCTGTGAATACTACTGACGACTTTCTGTGACTACCGAGGAACTTCTATGAGTACTACTGACGACCTTCTGTAAGTACTACTGACGACCTTCTGTGAGTACTACTGACGACCTGTGAGTACTACTGACGACCTCATGTGAGTATTACTGACGACCTTCTGTGAATACTACTGACGACTTTCTGTGAGTACTACCGAGGACCTTCTGTGAGTACTACTGACGACCTTCTGTGAGTACTACTGACGACCTTCTGTGAGTACTACTGACGACCTTCTGTGAGTACTACTGACGACCTTCTGTGAGTACTACTGACGACCTTCTGTAAGTACTGCTGATGGCCTCCTGTGAGTACTGCTGACGACCTTCTGTGAGCACTACTGACGACCTTCTGTGAGTACTACTGACGACCTTCTGTGAGTACTACTGATGACCTTCTGTGAGCACTACTGACGACCTTCTGTGAGTACTACTGACGACCTCATGTGGTATTACTGACGACCTTCTGTGAATACTACTGACGACTTTCTGTGAGTACTACCGAGGACCTTCTGTGAGTACTACTGACGACCTTCTGTGAGTACTACTGACGACCTTCTGTGAGTACTACTGACGACCTGTGAGTACTACTGACTACCTTTTGTGAGTACTACTGACGACCTTTTGTGAGTAGTACTGACGATCTTCTGTGAGTACTACTGACGACCTTCTGTAAGTACTGCTGATGACCTCCTGTGAGTACTGCTGATGACCTCTTGTGAGTACTACTGACGACTTTCTGTAAGTACTACTGACGACCTTTTGTGAATATTACTGACGATCTTCTGTGAGTACTACTGACGACCTTCTGTGAGTACTACTGACGACCTTCTGTGAGTACTACTGACGACCTTCTGTGAGGCAGAGGAACTGACTTCATTCTCACTAGTATCCCTTCAACGTGGAATAACCTCGATTCTAGTACTCTTGATCCAAGGAATCAGAGCTTCCCTCCCCTTGCTCGGATCAAAACTGATTACCTCCCATTCCTCCAAGCGCTCCCAATGAATAATAATAATAATAATAAATTAATTTATTGCAAAATTCTTCAGCACTGGGATGAATATATAAAATTTGATTTGTAAGGATGAATGTTTTTCAATCAGGATGCTTAATTGCACAGAGTCTGTATGACCCATGCGGGTTTAGCGCGTATTTTGAATCCATTTATCTTGATGCCATTTCATTTCTTTTTGTGTTCCTTAGGTGAAGCACTTTGATCGGAAAAGACAATATATGGAGTTCAAGGAGCGGATACACTCGGTAGGGTAAGTGTGTGTGTGTGTGTGTGTGTGTGTGTGGGGCTGAGCCTAGCTAGCTGCTGTGATGGCCTAACTACCTCTTGCTGGGATCTTTGGCTGGGCTGCTGGGATGGTATTGGCTGGTGCTGGAATGCATAGATGTGGTTGAGCTTTTCTGCCGGGGACTGCTAGGATTGGCTGAGGCTAATTGCTCGGCGAAGTGTTTATATCACAGCGCGAAAATAACAAATGCAAGTGTGTGTGTGTGTGTGTGTGTGTGTGTGTGTGTGTGTGTGTGTGTGTGTGTGTGTGTGTGTGTGTGTGTGTGTGTGTGTGTATGTGTGTGTGTGTGTGTGTGTGTGTGTGTGTGTGTGTGTGTGTATGTGTGTATGTGTGTGTGTGTGTGTGTATGTGTATGTGTATGTACTCACCTATTTGTACTCACCTATTTGTGGTTGCAGGGGTCGAGTCATAGCTCCTGGCCCCGCCTCTTCACTGATTGCTACTAGGTCCTCTCTCTCCCTGCTACATGAGCTTTATCATACCTCGCTTAAACTATGTATGGTTCCCGCCTCCACTACTTCACTTTCTAGACTATTCCATGACTTGACTACTCTATGACTGAAGAAATACTTCCTAACATCCCTTCGATTCATCTGAGTTTTCAACTTCCAATTGTGACCTCTTGTGTCTGTGTCCCATCTCTGGAACATCCTGTCTTTGTCCACCTTGTCTATTCCGTGCAGTATTTTATATGTCGTTATCATGTCTCCCCTGACCCTCCTGGCCTCCAGTGTCGTCAGGCCGATTTCCCTCAACCTTTCTTCGTAGGACAATCCCCGTAGCTCTGGGACTAGTCTTGTTGCAAACCTTTGCACTTTCTCTAATTTCTTGACGTGCTTGACTAGGTGTGGATTCCAAACTGGTGCTGCATACTCCAGTATGGGCCTGACGTAAATGGTATACAGGGTCTTGAACGACTCCTTACTGAGGTATCGGAACGCTATCCGTAGGTTTGCCAGGCGCCCGTATGCTGCAGCAGTTATCTGATTTATGTGCGCCTCAGGAGATATGCTTGGTGTTATACTCACCCCCAGATCTTTTTCCTTGAGTGAGGTTTGCAGTCTTTGGCCATCTAAACTATATTGTGTCTGCGGTCTTCTTTGCCCTTCCCCAATCTTCATGACTTTGCATTTGGCAGGGTTAAACTCAAGGAGCCAGTTGCTGGACCAGGCTTGCAGCCTGTCCAGGTCTCTTTGTAGTCCTGCCTGATCCTCATCCGATTTGATTCTTCTCATTAACTTCACATCATCTGCAAACAAGGACACTTCTGAGTCTATCCCTTCCGTTATGTCGTTCACATATACCAAGAACAGCACAGGTCCTAGGACTGACCCCTGTGGAACCCCGCTTGTCACAAGTGCCCACTCTGACACCTCGTCACGTACCATGACTCGTTGTTGCCTCCCTGTCAGGTATTCTCTGATCCATTTCAGTGCCTTTCCTGTTATATGTGCCTGATCTTCTAGCTTTTTCAGTAACCTCTTGTGAGGAACTGTGTCGAAGGCCTTTTTGCAGTCCAAAAAAATGCAGTCGATCCACCCCTCTCTCTCTTGTCTTACTTCTGTCACCTTGTCATAAAACTCTAGTAGGTTTGTGACACAGGATTTTCCTTCCCTGAAACCATGCTGGTTGTCAATTATACACTTGTTTCTTTCCAGGTGCTCCACCACTCTCCTCCTGATGATCTTCTCCATGACCTTGCATACTATACACGTTAGTGATACAGGTCTGTAGTTTAGTGCCTCATGTCTGTCTCCCTTTTTAAAAATTGGGACTACATTTGCCATCTTCCATACCTCAGGGAGTTGCCCAGTTTCAAATGATGTGTTGAAGATCTTTGTTAATGGCACACACAATATCTCTGCTCCCTCTTTAAGGACCCACGGAGAGATGTGTATGTGTATGTGTGTGTGTGTGTGTGTGTGTGTGTGTGTGTGTGTGTGTGTGTGTGCGTGTGTGTGTGTGTGTGTACTCACCTAGTTGTACTCACCTAGTTGAGGTTGCAGGGGTCGAGTCCAAGCTCCTGTCCCCGCCTCTTCACTGGTCACTACTAGGTCACTCTCCCTGAACCGTGAGCTTTATCATACCTCTGCTTAAAGCTATGTATGGATCCTGCCTTCACTACATCGCTTCCCAAACTATTCCACTTACTGACTACTCTGTGGCTGAAGAAATACTTCCTAACATCCCTGTGATTCATCTGTGTCTTCAACTTCCAACTGTGTCCTCTTGTTACTGTGTCGTGTGTGTGTGTGTGTGTGTGTGTGTGTGTGTGTGTGTGTGTGTGTGTGTATGTGTGTGTATGTGTGTGTGTGTGTGTGTGTGTGTGTGTGTATGTGTGTGCACTCATGCATTTTTCCCTCTTCGCTATACAACTCGTGGCTGCGTCCGATGAGACACGTGCAACACCTATGGGTGTCTTTATCAACAGACGTTTCGCCCATCAGGGAGGTGAAGGGCTTTATCAATCTAGTACAAACACAGGAGAATATTTCTCATTAATGATTCGCAGGTGTTACACCTGTCTCGTCCATGATCGACGTGTCTGTGTTGAACGACCTTATTCTGAAGGTAGTTGACTGTATATGCTGGTTCACGTTTAACATAGGAATTAAAGTATACATCTCGGTGTATATACACAGAGATATATACCTCTCGCTGTATATACAGTGAGAGATACATACCTGTCGCTCTATACATTCAAGCCTCTTTTTTTGAGATTTGGATGACCTTACCAAATTATTGTTTTTTTCAAATCTTAGATAACTGTGTGCAAATATTATCCAATATTAATGTTTTTAATAAATTTGTATATGCTATATGTTAGTCAGGATAAATATTAGTATTTATAATATGTTATAGACTATTTTAAATTTCTTAGAGAGAGAGAGATACATTGCACCTAAGAGACGATCTGTGTCTCCTTCTACAGACTCCGGGAGGGGACCACAGCGGGCGTCTCGCCGCGGCCCGCCCTTGACACTCCGCTGGTCAGGAGACACCGTATCTACAGCGAGGTGGTCTTCACCTAGCACACACCCCCCTACCCTTCCTCCTCTACCACCTGCACCAGGGCCAACCCTCACCTACGCTTTGAATCGGGTTCATTCGCCACCTATTGTCGGGTTCAGTCACCACACCAAGAAAGATTCACCCGAAAGTCATCCTCACCCGCCACTGTGTCGATGCGCTTCAAGCTTCAGCAATTGCTTGGACTTATAATCGCCTTGTTTCAGGAGGACTTGAATTATATATGGAGATTCCTGAACCATCACTTTGCTGGAGCGACGGCGATACCGGACGTCAATATCGGTGCCGGACTTCTGTACACATTAGCTGATCCACACAGCTATTCAGTTTTTTTCTTATTGTTGTGGCTTATAGAGCCATTCCTAGCTTACGCCGTACGGATGACCCCTAACTGTCTAGTCGCTTAGTAACTAAGCAACTAGGTAGTCTGACAGCCAATTAATTAGCCAGTCCATCCCAATAACACTGAGAGGGTCACCTTTCCCATAACATTCAGTGGAACAATTCTCTTTTAGCCTTAGGTGCAGGATTCAGTCCTTCAGTTACGTAATTTAGGTTAATTGGGGGGTTTATAAGGATGTTAATAATCGTTTACTGTGTTAAACCACCTCAAGTGTGTCATTTTAACATTGCATCTCCACCACATTGAAATTTATCACGTCCCTCTCGCCCTCCCATCATCGTTTCTTTTTAAATCGAGTATTATTCTATAATAACGTTGGTAGAATTACCCACAATATGTTAGGTATAAGGACCCAAGTGTAGCTAATGCGCTATTTTATTCTTGCTACGTTTCGCTCTGTATGAAAAGTAAAAGGACACAAGTGCAACTAATGTGACATTTTTTATTGTGGCAACGTTTCGCTCTCCAGGAGCCACAATAAAAATGTCACATTAGTTGCACTTGTGTCTTTATACCTAACATTATTCTTCTGGTTTGCAGACGAGCCAGAATTGACAAAGAAAAAGAATATCACTTAGGCTTGATAGGTGATAGTATTGAAGGTTAAGACACATGTGCAACATCTGGATATCTTTATTGCAAACATTTCGCCATCCAGTGACTTTATCAATACAGATTCTAGGACATACTTAGAAGACAGTAGAACTATATACAAAAGATGAGGTAATCATTCCCTCAGCCTTGGAGTTAGTGTTAACAGCATCATGGTCATTATCAGTCATTACCCGGTAATGACCTGATAATGACCTGTGCTCAGATACACCACGAAGAAGCGGGAGAATAACAAAGGAAACTTGGCTGACCCAGCCCGGGTATCAGGGACGATCCCTTCGTGGGGAAGAGGGAGACCTGACGCTAGTGGAGGACTCTTTATCCAAGGGGTTGGAGTCACCCCTCCCCTTCCTCGGAGTAACCCTGACTGCTGCCCATTATCCAAATTCTATATGACCTCCTGCAGGGATGCTGCTTCCTCGTGAATGTGTTGATAATACACTCATTGACTGGATTAATTTTAGGTCATGTTAGGCTTGATTAAGTCATGTTAGGTTTGGTTAGGTCATATTAGGTTTGGTTAGGTCATGTTAGGTTTGGTTAGGTCATGTTAGGTTTGGTTAGGTCATGTTAGGTTTGGTTAGGCCATGTTAGGTTAGGTTACACCATTCTATTGTTGGTTAGGACATTTTCAGATTAGGTTAGGTTTGGTTAGGTTGGATTACGTTATGTCAGCTTAGGTTACAATATTTTACGTTATATAATGTCATTTTAAGTAGGTTAAGTTAGGTTAGTTTACGTTACGTTGCTGTGCGCTATATTATGTACGTTCAAGTAGGTTGGGATAGGCTAGGTCATGGCACATCAAGTTAGGTTAGATCAGGTAACGTTAGGATAGGTTAGGTCAAATCATTGGGATAGGTTAAGTTAGGTTAGGTCGGGCCTTGTTAGATTCAGTTAAATTAGGTCAGGTCAGGTGTTATCACCTTAGGTTTAGTTAGATTAGGTCAGGTCACCCTAACTAACAGTAAATAACTGATATAATTAAGTAGTTCTTAAAGATAACATTACCAGAGAGCAACGCCAAGAGAGTAAATATATGAGGCTGTGTCATATTCTCTGGGAAGTGCTAAACCCTTGTAGGTCAGTCAGTGATGAAAGTTAAGACACATGTGCAACATCTGGTTATCTTTATTATAGACGTTTCACCATCCAGTGGCTTCATCAATACAAATTCTAGGACATAACTAGAAGACAGTAGAACTATATACATAAAATGAGGTAATCAGTCCCTCAGCTTTGGAGTTGGTGTGAAGAGCACCGTGGTTGTGGAGATTCTGGAGCACAGGCAAGGAGGCTGGCGCTTATATAGGCGTCAGTGGATAGGGACGTGTAGCAGACGAGGGCATTGTCATTGGTAGGCGGGATTTCTCAATGGAAGTAGTCATACCCAAGGAGTGGTGGAGGCTCGGTCCTCCGTCCACACATCGCTGCCCTCCAGTCTCTGAGTAATTGTAAGAGATATTCGTCCAGGGGGAAATTTGTGTTTATGGAGTTTATATATTGTAACTAAATTAATATCGGTGTTTCCGTTTCACTCTCGAGTTCTGCCAGTCAGTTTCTAATACATTGGGAAAAAATAGGACATGTCACCTTAAGACACCTGATGTCCCTGTTCACCTAGTAGTAAAATAGGTACCTGGGTGTTAGTCGACTTATGTGGTTCACATCCTGGGACGAAATTGACCTAATCTGTGGGAAATGCTCTGCATAACAAGGGGCTTTCTAAGTAGTACTATGTCATTGATGTCAGCTATGGTCTGTATACCTTGTACATGTACTTGTAGAAATATTATATTAATCAGCACACGTCACTGGCATTACTTGATGTCTTGAACCAATCAGCACACGTCACTGGTTGTTAGGTAAGACACATATGCAACAGTTAGGTATCTTTATTTCGAAATGTTTCGCCTACACAGTAGGCTTCTTCAGTCGAGTACAGAAAAGTTGATAGAAGCAGAAGAGACTTGAAGACGATGTAATCAGTCCATCACCCTTAAAGTTTTGAGGTGGTCAGTCCCTCAGTCTGGATAAGAGCATTGTTCCATAGTCTGAAACAATGCTCTTATGGAACAATGCTCTTCTCCAGACTGAGGGACTGACCACCTCAAAACTTTAAGGGTGATGGACTGATTACATCGTCTTCAAGTCTCTTCTGCTTCTATCAACTTTTCTGTACTCGACTGAAGAAGCCTACTGTGTAGGCGAAACATTTCGAAATAAAGATACCTAACTGTTGCATATGTGTCTTACCTAACAACCTGTCGGTATTTTATACCATTTTAATGTTCAACACGTCACTGGCTTTATCTGATGCCTTGAACCAATCAGCACACGTCACTGGCTTTATCTGATGCCTTGAACCAATCAGCACACGTCACTGGCTTTATCTGATGCCTTGAACCAATCAGCACACGTCACTGGCTTTATCTGATGCCTTGAACCAATCAGCACACGTCACTGGCTTTATCTGATGCCTTGAACCAATCAGCACACGTCACTGGCTTTATCTGATGCCTTGAACCAATGAGAATACGTCACTGGCTTTATCTGATGCCCTGAACCAATCAGTACACGTCACTAGCTCTTCACTATACTTTTAACTAATCAGCAAACGTCATTTTTACCTTCATTATATAAAGTTTAACCAATCAGGAACTGGGTCCCTCTGAGGTGATAAATCATTCACATTTCATCATTAACTCACATCATTGTCCTTCAAAGTGTGTTCGTAGCGCCACTGTTCCCAATAATGAATAATAATAGTATTTATAGTAATCTAATACTTAGTGGTTTCTAGAGGAGTCTAACCATATTTTTGAGATTTAAATATATACAAGACTAAAACTGTGAGATTCAGTATGTGTGTATATATATGTGTATATGTGTGTGTATATGTGTGTGTGTATATTATATATATATATATATATATATATATATATATATATATATATATATTATATATATATATATATATATATATATATATATATATAAATTTTATATATATATATATATAACATACATACTGAGCGTATACTTTAATCAATATTTGAGGATTAAAGTGTTACTGGTATGAGTGTAGAGGTGAAGCGTGAGTTTTATGATCCTCATGCAGTGAATAGGCTTTAAAAGCCTTAAAAATGTACGAATTTCTTAAAGAATATCTGGTGTTTATTGTGGTGAACTGGTGTGACGGAGACAAGGAAAACACAGGTTGAAGAATTAGCTTGATCTGGGATAACGTTTTATCTCTGTGTTGAGCTTCATCAAATCATGGTTTACCTGGAGAGGGCTTAGGGGGTCAGCGCCCCCGCTGCCCGAGACATAAAACTCTACAGAGGACACATGACTATACAAAGCTCAATACAGAATGAGATATGACTATAAAGCTCTATACTGACGAGAAATGCCTTCATACAGGTGGACACGGAGCGAGACAAGACTTCATAAATCTCTTCAATGAGCGTCCCAAGAAGAGCTTGTCCTGCAACCTGTGTTTTTGCTTCGCTATTATCGGCTGTACTACATTTGGATGTCGCCAGGGATTTAATATTAAACACAGCCGGTAATCCTTGGCTCAGTGTATGACGGCTTGTTAAGTGTGTCATTAGCACTCGAGACATGTAAGTGCCTCCCAGGGCCACTGTCAACCCAGGACAATACACCTAATGTATGATATTCAATAAACAATATTTTTTTATTGATATGTTTTTGCTATTTATTCATTCGTTTGAGTTCGTGTTGTTGCATCGACAGATTTTTGGTGTGTGTGCATGTGAGAAGGCTGACTTGACTGGGAATATGGCACTACTAGCTTGGCTTTGCTTCCCTCAGATGCCAGAGTGACTCACATTTTAGTTGTATGTATTTGTTTTATTGCGTTAGTTTTGTTATAGAATGTGATGCTAGACGAGTGGGAGGTGCATATGTAAGTTGTGTGTTGTATTGGTCGATTTGGAAAAAACCTATGATAGAGTGGATAAGGAAACAATGGTAGATATTGCCAAGGCATGGAACTGGTGATAAATTGCTAATATTTATAACGTTCTTTTGGGGGTATATATGAGATTTTTTTTTCTCAGTGAATGTGAACTTTAGGTAAGAGTGATGTCATTATGGTTTGTTTAATATATTTATAGTTAGGGTTGTAATAGAAGTTTATGGTAATGCTGGGGGGATGAAGGTGTGCGAGCTGTTACAATTGTTTGCTGATGACACAGTGCTTTTTTGGGAATCCTGCAGTGATGTTACAAAACTTAGTGTAGGAGTGGATGGACATCAGATTAGGAGCATGGGGGAAATAAATGTTTAGATATTTTTGAGTGGATGCAACTAGAAATGGGTCTATTGCAGACTATTGTAAGAGGGGAATGCACCAGAAGATAGTAGTGTTAACACTGCAATATAAATGTTAGGCATGGCCTTTGAATGTTGCATCGAGATGGAGGAGGAGAAGGCGGAGGCTGGAGGCTGTGGAGATGTCACATTTGAGATCAATTTGTGATGTGAATATTATGCAGAGACTATGAAGTGTAGAAATTAGAAGACAATAAGTTGGTATGAAATGAATGATTCAAAGAATGAAGGAAGGGTTGTTGAGATTATTTGGTCATTTAGAAAAGTTAGAACAGATATATATATATATATATATATATATATATATATATATATATATATATATATATATATATATATATATATATATATATATATATAATATATATATATATATATATAATTATTTATATCTTTGGTCATTTGTGTTATTATTATTATTATAATCAAAAAGAAGCGCTAAGCCACAAGGGCTATACAGCAGGTCATTTGTGTTATAAATCAGCATTAACAAAAATTGTATAAATTATGTTTAAGGTCCAATACCACAGGTTGTGTTATTGTGGTACGAGTGAATTGTGTAGATGAAAGAGAACTGTTTTGTCATGGTGCTGTTATTAATGGCTGTGGCATGGTAGACGAAGACAACAGAGGTACCGTACCGTTGTGACGTGGTGGGGTACGGTACATGGCAGGATATAAGTAGAGAGAACTGAGCCCATGATGCAACTGCCTGGTATTGTTCTGTATCAGGTTGTGGCAAAAGTTATCGATGTTATCTTTGACTGTGATTTGAAGTGATAATCTTACATATATCATGATACTGTAATTTGATGTGAAATATATACTACTATTAGTAATAATGTAGAATTCGTATATATTTATAATATGACCTGGCCTGATCCACCTAATCTGACTCCGGCTTTATAATTAACTATTATGAAGGACCTGATGATCACATTATACATGATCACAATCGCTAGCCATATGATTAGCAAACAGTAAGTCTAGAGAACGACAAGCTGTTTTGAAAAGCTTTTAAATACTGCAAAAAAAAGGCAGTAAAAAATTAGGTATTCCTAAAGATGACCTTAAGTGGTTGCCGGATTTGTTTTTCTTCAACTTTCCGTTTTGATTTTATTCATTCCGTTTACCTTTTTATGTACTATGTATTTTAGGTTGTACCTGCACTTTTCTGCGCATCAGGTACCATAATAAGCGAGCTGTATAGATACTCAACAGATATTGTCTTGTGAAGCTGTACACACACACGAATTATTATTGTAATCAAAAGGAAGCGCTAAACCTATTGGGGATCATACAACGCTGCAAGATAGGAACTGATGCAGGATCTAATAAGTAAGGATGGAGAGGACAATAAATATAAAGTTAGGAGGGGCTGCAAGGAGTGCTAAAGGATTATCAAAATTTGTGTTAACACAAACATGAAAACTAGCAACAATCTTCTCTCCTGCGGTGGTGGCTGTGGGAGTCGTAACAGTGGCCACCGGTACCATGTTTTTATTTTTATCTGCTGTGAAGCTGCTTACGCTCTCGTCCAGTTGTACCACAGCATCCAGTACAACTTGTGGGAACTGCAGATAGAACCATCTCATCTCCGACTCCCCTTTTTTTCTTCGTCTCCTTTACCCCTCCTCCCCACCCCATCCCATCCCTGTTCTTTGTAATTATTTCTTACCATCTAACCTTACACATTACGTTCATCGGGGAACGCTAAACCCGTACGGGTCCCACAGGAATTGAAGCACAACCTCTATTAATTAGATCAAGGAACCTCCTCCTGGTCCGTGACCAGGCCTCGTGAGATGTGAAGATTCAAATTGGTTTTTGAACTGTGTAGATGTCAGCTTGTGAAACCTTGTGAACACTTCTTATGATTAACATCAAATCTTCAGTGCTAATATTTGACTGGATCAGGAACTTTTGCTACGCCTCTGCCTTATTTCTTGTGTACATCCAGGTTGAGGAACTGGGCTTATGAGACATCTTTCTCGGATCATTGATTTTATGTACCTTAATTAGGGAGAGCATTAAACATGTAGGGGTTACACTGTGCCTGGGGAACAGGAGACATACAGGTTCAATTATAGAACTAAACCTGGAGTTACATAGTGCGTGGGAAACTGGAGGCATTAATTCCTCTATAACTCACAGCACTTTACCAGCAGTCACCCCATTAGTCACGAGAACGTTGAACTCCGAGACCATAAAACTCCAGAGAACTGGAGGGATTATTATTATAATCACAAAGAAGCGCTAAGCCACAAGAGAACTGGAGGGAGTTAATGCAAGAAAGGATAGCTCAAATTCCTCGTATTAAGAGGCCATTTTAATCAAGGGGAAGCGCTAAACCATAGGGGTCACACAGTACCCAAGGGAACAGGATTGATCCTAGGGAGAATAGGTTAAATTATTATAATCAAAAAGAAGCGCTAAGCCACAAGGGCTATAGAATAGGTTAAAGTTCTTGAATTAAGACCCTTTACTAGCACAAGGTACCTCTTATTACAATCAACCTTTCACAGGTACTCCCCCTCAGAAAAACGATACCCAAAGGTCAAGAAAACTCAAATTTGAT